ATAGGGCCTTTGTGAGATCTCTTGACCTATTCTGTGCATCTCTTCAAACTTAGCTTGCAAATTGAAGGCTTTTACCCTCCTCCTCTTCCCCCCAGTTCTTCCAATGGAAGAATAACTGATTAGGCTTCATCCCTTCCCCCATAGTAGTAAGGTTGGACTTCTGAGTAGTGACTGGGAAAGCAGGGTAGGGCCCTAGTGTTGAGTATGAGGGGGCGAAGGGTGGACGGCAGGATCCTCACTCCTCATATTCTCCAGATGTGGAGTGCTGACCTAAACCCCAGGTTCCCCACACAATAGCATCAGCATGACCTCATGTGGATGGGCACTCCGTATGATGGAGATTTGGCTGTAGATACCAGGAGATCCAACAGTGGAAATTTGACTGCACCAGCCACTTGAAGGGGGGATGCAGTCTTCCTCCTTTTAGGTTCCTTCCTAGATCAAAACATCTGCTCACAATCTTTGGCACTAGGCCAGTTGTCTTCTGGAGTGAAACCAACATGCCCATGCTACCACCCTGCCCACTCTCTAAGTCCTGGATGAAGGGACTGATATTGGAATGGCTGTTCTCACACAACAGATCAGTAATGGAAATTAACTTTGGTTGCCTGGATAGTATGCTGTGGTATGGGTTCTCTTCTTGAGGGTATAACAGAGTAACACTAGCCAATGTTCTGCTCCCTGGTTCCTTCTAGTAGACCGTAAACCTAAGCAAAAGGATTCTCCAGCTGTAGTGTCCTCTCTTCTTCCCACCAAGATTGTTCCTCCCCAGTTGGGGTTGGGTACACTTCCCTGTGATCTGTGGCATTTGCCATGACCAGGTGTGGGGCTCAAGCCCAGCCTGTTCTCTTCTTCCTCTACACAGCTCCATGTTCTATGACGAGGATGGGGATCTGGCTCATGAGTTCTACGAAGAGACAATCGTCACCAAGAATGGGCAGAAGCGGGCCAAACTGAGGCGGGTGCATAAGAATCTGATTCCTCAGGTGAGGGACTGGTAGAGGTCATAGAACCTTCATCAAGTATGTAAAGGTAGACCCAGGTGGGGTCTACTGGGGGAGGAGCCAGGAGGATCAGGAAGCTTCCTGAAGTAGACACCCTGAGCTGACCCTCATAGCCTTTGTTTCCATGGCAGGGCTTCGTGAAGCTGGATCCCCCCCGCCTCCATGTGGATTTCCCTGTGATTCTCTACGAGGTGTGAGCCTGGGAGATGGCATACACAAACACCGTCTGCCTCAGCAAGAAACTCCCAGACTTGAGGTGTGGTTTCCATTGAGGAGCCCAGGCCGAGGCCACAACCCTGAATAAACTCCACTGGCCCAGAACCTTTGGCTGTGAGCAGGGCAGTCCCTCGGTGTTAATTGTATATTGGTTTGTGTGTGGACAGGAGGTGGTTAGTGACTGGTGAAGGCTAATGGCAGATTTACCAGCCCACCCTCCCCAGCCACCCCTGCAAGAAACATGGCAGGGCATATGCCAGTCAGGAATGCCTGGTTCCTTGCCTGGCCTGCTTCCTTCCAAGCTTTCCCAGGGCCAAGCCCTGCTAGAAGCTACAGCACTTTACAAATAAAGTCTGCCTTCTTCCAGCCCCTGGGCTATGGGGGCTTTACACAAATGAGAACTTCCTTTCCCCTCACTTCCCATACCCCCTAGTTGGAGCATTTCAGCCATTTGCTACCTCGATTCCTCCTGTATTGGACAGAGGCTGGGGGCAGCACCAGCCTGATTCTTCCCACCTACCTGCCATTTGTTCCCACTTTCAGATGGACAGTTTGCTGGCAGTTAATAGAAATGGGGACTGTTGTGAGAGGCTTCTCCCTTCACCCAGGGCTGGACTGATCCTTACCCACTGCAATTAATTGTTTATCCTTCCCCTATTTGAGAGAGTGCAGGCCAGGGTCAGGATGGGCTGTGGATGCCTGTGCATATGGGGAGTTGCACCAAGCCACCCATTCTTTGTATTAGCCCCCCACACCACTTGGGAGGGAACTGTCTACTACCCTGTGGTAAGGAACAACACACTAGGGCTGGTGTGAATAGCTATAAGGAGCCCACCACCCTTCCCCTACAGTATCCTCACCCCTTCAGTATCGTTTAAGGGAAAGTACTGGATCCCCTTGGTAGACACAAAAAGGAAGGGTTTATGTTTTACATAAAAGGAATACTTAAAATGTGAAGGTTTGTAAATAGTCTAGTCTATGATGATGTTGGGACAGAGTCTGATTTCTATATAGAAATTACTTTTTTTTTTTTTTTTAATTCTTATTGTGCAAAATCTGTGCTTCTAGAGTGTGGAAAATGGCTTGGGGAGGGTGGTCCCCAGCATAGGAAGACTGTTGTGTTATTTGTTCAATTTCAATAAAATTATTTGTAGATCCTGCAAATGAGTATGGCATCCTCTGGGACTGTGACACCCAGTGTCTAGACTACTTTCTGGGATCAACAGGTAGGCCTGGGCCCAGGACTCTGGCAGGCTTACCATCTCCAGCATGGACCAAGAAAAAGCCTGAGCTCTAACTGTGGCAACTCCAGCTATGGCCAGCAGGTGGCCGTGTATTCACACTGGGCCTGTCAGGATGCGGGTACTACTTACCTGTCTTATTGTGATCAGAGTGGTGGAAATCCCCGGAATCAGAGGTTGTAGTGTTGCTTCACTAGGAATTAGTCCCACCTGACCTAAGGTGAGAGTATGACCCTAGATAGTTCTGGTCCCAACATTGCTAGCTGACCTCAAGTGAATTGATATCCTGAGCCCCAAGGACTTAAAAAAAGGCCCAGACATGCATAGACAGTATACTGCCAGGCATATATAAACTTCATCTGCTTCTTCTCCTCCCAGACCACCACTGGGAGAATGAGCTCTGGATTTCCTTTCCAACCTTCAGTACTTCCTTCTGTTCTCTGCTGCCTGTGCTATAGACTCCCCACCACTACCACCACCACCACAACCACCACCACCACCACACACATACACACTAGGGATTGAACTCAGGGCCTCTTGCATATTATATAAACATACTACCATGAAACTATATTACCGGTCCATTAAAAAAAAAACAAAACAGGTTTTTGCTAAATTGCCTAAGCTGGCCTTGAATTTATGATCTTCCTACCTCAGTCTCCTGAATGGATGTCATTACAGCCTCCTGAATAACACCACCACACCTGGATTGCCTGTGAACATTCTGCCTACAGGGCCTGCTGTGAAGCAGGTTATCTGCTAGGCCATCAGTTCAACTCCCAGTTAAGAAGGGGGAAATTCAAGGACCCAGGCTTCTAGGTTTGGGAAACTGGCCTACCAGTCTTTCAGAGGCTTGAATTTGTCACATCTGGAGTAGGATCACTCTGTGCAGCCTGGACTTGTAGTTCTGTGAGCTGTCTTCCCATTCCCCTTAAGATGCCAAACCTAAGGCCCTGTCATCCTCCACTCCACCCTACTGTCTGTTCAAAGGCCAGCGCTCTCCCATAACAAACAGCATTCTATCTCCCACCATCATTATCCCAGCCTGGAGGAACTCCCTGTGCTCAGCCTTCTCAGCTGACCCCAAAGCTGGAAACAATGGGAGTCAGGCAGTGCTTCCCCACTCCCTCCCACTGGGCTGTGCTCACTTCCTTCCTGCTGACAGCTTGAGGAAGTGTCCCTGCCCTGGGACAGTCTGGTCCGGCCTTTGTTTTCCCAGGGGTCCCCACCCTGGTAGCTTCCTAGGCCTCTGTCCCTTCTGAAGCCAGCACAGTGGTACAGGGACACTGCACCCACTCCTGTCATATCCTGGACTCCTGGGTCCTCACAGCCAGACTGCAGATTATGCACTCACCTCCCCGAGACTCCCACACAGCCAGGAGAGGGGCCCTGTGCATTGGAGAGGTGAAGCCAGCCACATGAACTTCCCCTCCCAAAGAAACACCCCCCCTTCTCTCTCCACTTTGGCAAAGAGCCACTCTGTAGTGGACTCAGTGAAATCTACCCAGGAATGTCCTCCAGCTGGATAGCACTCTGCAGGCCTTGCCCCACCCCTATCCCACAGTCACACACATCAAGTATTGTCCTCTCTGTCACACTTGAGACACTTCTGCTCTTGGTGGGAAAAAAAAAAAATGACCCAGCTCCCAGAAGTTCCCCCAACCCTCTCCCCCATCTCCCAGAATTGGCTCCCTTATTTGACACCTGCTGTAGGAGGCCATCAGTTGAACACCCCCCAGATAGTTTGATTCTCCCAAAAGACCAAGGCCTGTACCTCCTCAACACCCTACTAAATGAGAATGAGCCCAAACCCCAAGGAAAAGTTGGTGAGGAGAGTTAAGGAAATTGTGGGCATCAGGGAGACTGACTCCTGAGCCTGGGCTCATAGCCTTCCTGTCACCTGGCACAGCTGGTGGGGCCAGATCGTACAGGAGAAGGGTGGGGAGGGCAGCCAGCCAGGAGAGCATGCCAGAGGAAAACAGGGTCAAGGCAATCTCCTCCCTCGCGCCTTTCCTGGCCTTTTCCTCTCAGAGGGGCAGCAGGAAGTGAGGAGAAAGGGCTGGAATGGGAGGCGGGAGCGGGTGGGAGGGAATGGGGTTTATCAAGTCGCCGGCAGGCTGCCCAGCGGGCAGCAGCTGGTGAACGTATCCTGGCTGGAGAAGTTCACTCCAGGAAAGAGGGAGGCCGCCGACCTACTGGGCCGACGGACTCCCAGACAGGTGAGCCCAGCGCAGACTGCAGAAGGCTGGTAGTCTGCGTTGCCATAGATGGGCTTGCTGTGGCGCTACCTATCTCTCCTCTCAGGCGCCGGGCGGGGAAGGGGCTGGCGGCGCAGACGCGGACATTTGAGGGAGCGGAGTCCCGCACTGCGGAGCGGATTTAAGAAGAGGCGAGGTCTTGCACAGGGCTCGTCCTGGTCCAGCTCCAAGCCTGCTCCCCCATCAGGAGGAGCCTGCGAAGCGAAAGAGCTCGGGATACCTAACCAAAGCCTCGGGGGGTCCCTACAGTTGGCTTTATCCAAGGTCTGGCCAGAAACTTCAGTTAAGAGTGACTCCCTTATGAAGTTATGAGGGAGATCCCGGGGAGTTCCCAGGGACTGGGCAGGAGCGGATCCCAAGGATTGGCCTGATCCTGATATGGGCCGGGAAGACTCGGGGCACCCCACCTTCCCCCTGGGACCCGCCAAGCTTCCCAACCCCAACCCTTCCCGCCACGCAGTGACCCACAGTCGAGGTTGCCAGACAACTGCTGCCTCTGCCTTAAAGACTAGGGCTAAGAAGTGGTGCTTGGCCCCTTACCCGAGACGGGCAGTGGGCGGGGCTTCCCTTCAGACCGCAGCCAAGAGGACAGGATTCGGGACTCGTAGGAGGCGGGGCATTACTGTTCTTGGAGGCCCCATCTGCTCAGGTCAAAGTCCTTTTCTCAACACAAAGGGGCCCCAGTGCTGGCGTCTACTACATTCGAGGTTGCAAAGTTCGATGAGCAGCTGCCCCAGTCAAGGCCTCGGAGTACTACAGCACCTCCTTATGGCCGAGCCGGGGAACGCCACCGTCCTTTTTATTCCATACACCCGGCTTCCCCCTCCCCGCCCTTATGCTGTCCCTTTAAGAGGTTGACTCCACAGAGAAGAAGAGAGGATTGTACCACCAGCAACGGACTGTGGGGAGAAAAATCTCAGGCCGACTGACACTAATAGCTAGCACTTGAACGGAAATCCTCGTTAGAAGGGGCTTCAGGTCTCAAATAGATGGCCACGTTTCTCTGCAGAGGATCTAGGGGATCCTCCAACCTGAAACTTAGCACTGGCGACGAGAAAGGCAGACACACCTACCCGCCGGGAACCCAATCCTGTTCCCCGCCCACCGCGGAGCTGGACTCTTAAAGGGCCAGAGGGCCTGGGGGCAGAGAGGTAGCAGAGGTGCTGAACCGGTGCCGGGCCTGAGCGAAGGGCCGGAGCGGCTAGGCTGGGCCCAGGATGGCGGCGGCCCTGGCACGGGTCCCGGTGGCGCCCCGTGTGAGGTGAGGGCGGGCGGTGCAAACCTACAGCTCTCCGCTGGCGGGCTGAGCTCTGAACTCCCGGGGGTGCCCCCAGAGAGGGGGCCTAGGAACCTCACCCCCACCCGGCGGGGCTCTGACCCCACGTGCAGGGCGGGGGCGGGGTCCCCGCACAAAGGCCAGGCGAAGTGCCCTCTACCCGGGACCAGTCGGTCTCGGTGTGGGCGCGCGCGCATTCCCGTGGCAGCGGAGGGAAAAGCAGGTCTGTCCGCTGGGCTGTGGGAGGTCCACTGTCCCTTTGTCCCCGCGGGCCCTCCTCCAAGCCTGAGAGAGTGCCTGCGTATACGACTAAGTCCTGACAGCGGGTGTTGCACAGATACAGCTCCGTGGCCGTGTTCCTTCCAGCTTCCTAGCATCTGTATGAGTTGTGTTCTCTACCCAAATGCTTAGTTTCTCTGGATCAAGGGTTCCTCACAGGGTACAGGGTGAAGTTCAGGGCTTTAGGGCTCACTGAAACCATGCACTGGAGGTTTGCAGGACATGTATAGGTTCTGGCGGCAGGTCCATAGCTTCATTCATTTAGTTCCCAGAAGGGTCACAGACCTAACAGATTCTTGACCAGCCATAGGCTACCTGTTCCACGAAGGAGCCATATGCTCCTGGTAGTGAGTCCCCAGGATAACTTGCCTGTCCTTCAATGGCCTGTTGTCTCTCAAACCTGTTACAGCTGTAGATGAGTCTGAACCACCAGGGGTACTGTGCCCCACATAGCATTGGGGCACTTTTGGAGCATAGATGGGCTTAAAGTGGGCACCTCCAGGATTCTCTAGACTGATTTTTTTTCTCTCCCACCCTTCATTTAGTTCCTAAGCTGGTGCCAAGCAGGTGACACTTCCTGTAGCCCCCAGCATGCTGGCAGGCCTGGGCCCCACCATCACACTGGCCTTGGTGCTAGCGGTGGCATGGGCCATGGAGCTCAAGCCCACAGTGCCACCCATCTTCACAGGCCGGCCCTTTGTGGTAGCATGGGATGTGCCCACACAGGACTGTGCCCCACGACACAAGGTGCCACTGGACCTGAGTGCCTTTGATGTGGAGGCTTCACCTAATGAGGGTTTTGTGAACCAGAATATCACCATCTTCTACTACGACCGTCTAGGCCTGTATCCACGCTTTGATTCAACTGGGACATCGGTGCATGGTGGTGTGCCACAGAATGTTAACCTCCGGGCACACCTACAGATGCTGAAGAAACCTGTAGAGCACTATATTCGCACCCAGGAGCCTGCAGGGCTGGCAGTCATTGACTGGGAGGACTGGCGGCCTGTGTGGGTGCGCAATTGGCAGGACAAGGATGTATACCGCCAGTCATCACGCCAGCTGGTAGCCAGTCGGCACCCTGACTGGCCATCAGACCGAATAGTCAAACAGGCACAATATGAATTTGAGTCCAATGCACGGCAGTTCATGCTGGAAACACTACGCTATGTCAAGGCAGTCAGACCTCGACACCTCTGGGGCTTCTACCTCTTTCCTGATTGCTATAACCATGATTATGTACAGAACTGGGAGAGCTACACAGGCCGCTGCCCTGATGTTGAGGTGGCCCGCAATGACCAGCTGGCCTGGTTGTGGGCTGAGAGCACGGCTCTCTTTCCCTCCGTTTACCTGGACGAGACACTAGCTTCCTCTGCTCATGGCCGCAACTTTGTCAGTTTCCGTGTTCAGGAAGCCCTTCGTGTAGCTCACACCCATCATGCGAACCACGCACTCCCAGTCTACGTCTTCACACGGCCCACCTATACCCGCAAGCTCACAGGGCTTAGTGAGGTATGTTCCTTCCAGGGTGCTGCTTTCTTCCTCCTTCTGGGAACCACTGCATGTTTGGTTACTAGGGCCGTGGTTTGCTGGCTATTCCATGTCTCTTCAAATAACTATATATAGGAGCTGAGGGCATATGGCTCATTGGTAGAACACTTGCCTAGTACACACAAGGCCCAGGGTTCAATCCCCAGCACCACAAAAATAAGCTTAAAAAATTATTAAATGTTATAGTATTAAATATAATGTTAAATGTTATATTAAAATTATAATATTGTGAAAGGGTGACATGTTATGTAGATAAAATTGAGGCACAGAGACATTAAGAGGTTTGCCAAAAACCTCCAGCAATACCAGTCACAGCAATACATGCCTGTAATCCCAGCAACTCAGGAGGCTGAGGCAGGAGAGTTGCAAGTTCAAGGCCAACCTGAGCATCTTAGTGAAACCCTGTCATAATATAACAGGCTGGGGATATAGCTCAGTGATAAAGCTACACTATGTCAATCCCCGGTACCCCCCTCCCCCCCAAAAAAAAAAGCCTCCAGCAAATCCAGGACAGCTTAGAGACTTGGATCCAGGTATCCTGACTTTGGCGTCTGTCTTGGTAGATACTCTGTAGACTCATGTATACTCTTGGCCTGGGAGATTGAGGCCCAAAGTGGGGTTGGAAATGAGCTTAAATATTTAAGGAAAAAGTAAAACAGGCAGAGTTTCTGCTTGGAGGGAAATAAGGGAGGGTTATATTGCAGAGTCAGTAAGTCAGAACAGTTCTATCTACTCAGTCCTTTTTCCTTCTGTGGTTTCAGTCTTCCCCAGTGATTGTCCCCTTTCCACACAGATGGACCTTATCTCTACCATTGGCGAGAGTGCAGCCCTGGGTGCAGCTGGTGTCATCCTCTGGGGTGACTCAGTATACACCTCAAGTATGGTAAGTGAGACCTTCCCAGCTGGTCAGAACTGCATCTACAAGAACAGGCAAATTTAGCCGGGTGTGGTGGTGCACATCTGTAATCTCAGCAATTTGGAAGGCTGAGACAGGAGGATCATCTGTTCAAAGCCAGCAACATATCGATACCTTGTCTCAAAGAATAAAAAGGTCTGGGGATATGGCTCAGTGGTTAAGAACCCCTGGGTTCAACTCCTGGTACAAAAAAAAAGGCAAATTTGGACTTTTTCTCCCAACCTCACTTAAGTATGCAAACCTAGTCAGACTCCAGGAAAGAGGAAATGCTGCCCTGAACAACCATGGAGTTCCGCCTTTTCCTGACTGCCCAGCTGTGTTGCAGCTTCTGCCCTTCTCTTCAGGAACAGGGACTGTGAGGGCTCAGGCACGCGTGTGTGTGTGTACACAAATAAGTGTGCTGTTAAAAAGAGGTTCTGTTGGGCTGGGGGTATAGTTCAGTGATAGAACACTTGCCTAGCATGCACAAGGCCCTGGGTTTAATAATCCCTCCACAGTGTGAACACAGTTTCTGTCGGCCTTGTGGGCCCAGGCAGCAGCTGACCCTGACCTGTTATCCTCTTGTTATCCTCTGTTTACCCCCAGGAGACCTGCCAGTACCTCAAGAATTACCTGACACAGCTGTTGGTCCCCTATGTAGTCAATGTGTCTTGGGCTACCCAGTATTGCAGCCGGGACCAGTGCAATGGTCATGGGCGCTGTGTGCGCCGCAACCCCAGCGCCAATACCTTCTTGCACCTCAGCGCCAGCAGCTTCCGCCTAGTACCTGGCCGAGCACCTGGTGAACCCCAGCTGCGACCTGAGGGGGAGCTTAGCCGGGCGGACCTCAACTACCTGCAGACGCACTTTCGCTGCCAGTGCTACTTAGGCTGGGGTGGTGAGCAATGCCAGTGGGACCACAGGCGGACAACTGGAGGTGCCAGTGGGGCCTGGACTGGTTCCCATTTCACCAGTCTGCTGGCTTTAGTAGCTGTGGCCCTCACCTAGACCCTATAGGAATCTCCTACCTGGCTACCAAGCCAGCTGGCTTCTGCCACAAGGGCTTTCCTGGGCATGTGAGAGCCTATAGGGGGTAGACAAACTAGAGTCTGGAGGAGCAGAGCCCCCAAGATACCCAGCAGGGCATCCATACTAGCTGTCGCACCCCTGTTCTAAGGGGGAGGGAAAGTCCCCTAAGAGGCCCCTTTCTACCTGTCAGAGGGGAAGGAGAATACAGCTGGGCTGGGGAGGGCCTGACCCTACTCCCCTGCCCCTGGATAGTTTATTATTATTTTGGGGTCTCTTTTGTAAATTAAATATGAAATAACTGTTTCTGTGCTTGTTATTTCTACTTCTGAGTTGGGGTTTGAGAGAGTCCAGGGTTGCCCACGAGGTTGAGCTTAGATCTCTGAAATCTTCTGGGAACTTCTCACCTGTAAAATGTGTTCACCAGGACTGACCTGGGATACCAGAGCTGCCCGCTCTGAAGCTGTCCTGCTGAGACAAGGGCCACTGAGAGTGGAGGAACCCACACTCCCAAGCTAGCACCAAAGACCTTGCTTTCTCCACATTGAATAAAATGGAATTGGATCTAACCTTGTGTGAGGGACAGAGCTTGATGTGCTTCTGCCACTTGCCCCTGCACCCCCAGCTAGGCCAGTACCAGCCTTGCCCATCAGGGAGAAGTAGATTTTGATCTTCCCTGCTATTTTCAAAGGCAAGGGTATCTCCTCTGCTCACTGCTCCCAAGGGTACTGGACTTACACTATATCTACCTCTTCCCATCTGGGTCACAGCTTTTCCTTGAGTCTGGTAGGGAGGGAGGTGGGTAGGGAGGGTTAAGATGTCAATTCTGAGGTTCAGTCCCTGTCACACTATGAAGATACGTGATGGGGCTATGGGTAGGCATCCTGAGCCTGGGACCAGGGAACATCATCAAAGATCAGCTCTGGCTGGATGTGGCACATGCCTAGAATCCCAGTGACCCTGGAGACTAAGGCAGGAGGATCACAAGTTCAAAGCCAACCCTCAGCAACTTGGTGAGGCCCTGAGCAATTTAGAGAGACCCTGTCTCAAAATAAAATATAAAAAAGGACGGGGGATGTGGCTCAGTGATAGATTTGCCCTCAGTGATAGAATTACCACAAAACAAAGATTAGCTCTGGGGCTAGGGATGTAGCTCAGTGGCAGAATATTTGCCTAACATGCATGATGCTCTGGGTTTAATCCCCAGCACTGTAAAAACAACAACAAAAAGTGTATCCTAGCCACAGGAGAATCCTAGCTGTCCCAGAGAAGTAGCAACCAGAATAGTCAGATCAGCTCTGAGCTGCTTCACTGCCCCTGTCTGTGTTAGGTGTGACACACAAGTCCTGCTCTCAGCAAACTGACTTACTGGCTCTCAAGCAACTGTAGTGCTAAGGTGTTTGAATACAAAGGCCCTGGTTTCAATCTCCAGTACCTGCCCCCCCAAAAAAAAAAAGTTAAAAAAAAAATAAAAGAATGAAAAGAAACTGAGTCGGAAAGAGCAGCACACAACAGGGGTTTAGGGGAGTTGTCCTCTCCAAGTACTTTCTACATTGATATGTGAAAGGGGAGGGAGCAGCTTAATACCAGGAAACAAAGCATGGACAGAGGCTTGAAGGAAGTTGGAACACAACTACAATACATAGTTCAGGACTGGGGTATGGCTCGGGGGTGTACTGAAGACAGAGATGAGAGGGGTAGCCCCAGAACTTACTTCTCCTGATGGCAATAAGTATCTCAATGTTGAGTAAGTAGTAAGTACACTAAGTACAATAATCTGGGCCAGTGCTTGCTGGGTACTAGGGATATGGCTGTGAAGGACATCAAGTAAGACCCCTGTGTTGAATGGGATGACAAAGTAGAAGGAAGTACACACTAAATGCCCAGACCAAGTCAGATGCCAGACGTGGAGAGTGCTCCAGCAAGTATCAGGCACACAAAAAGATGGTGTGATTAGGGAAGTAGAGTCTGAGGAACAAGCCCAACCAAAACCATGTCAACACACATTGTAAAGAGATCCCTCCCTTCTTCCTCTGGCTGATGACAGCATGGGTCTGGGTGACAGCACTAGGAGGGTAATGTAAATTCACATGGTCAGGAAGGAAGACACGGAAGTAGAGGGGGTCCCAGATGCTAATGGCTATCGTGGGGAGAGGCCAGGTTGGAGGAAAGATTCAGTGATGGTCCATAAGGCTATGAAATGGAGTTCAGCAGAGGGAGGGCAAGGAAGGAGGAGATGTGACCACACATCTCCACATCTGTGACCCCTCCCACACAGCTGTGACTTTTTACCTAGCAATGGCCCTACCTGTCAGCCCCTATAGGCAAAGTTTCAATCCTCACAGCTATTACGTTCCCTAAACATCTGTGTCTGCACACCATGACCTTTCCTACACATTTGTGACTTGTACCCATCCATCTCCAACAAACCCATGTACACTTTATATCATTTTCCTAGGAGGACTTGGGGAAAGTAAAACCCAGGGATAGTCAGAACTTTCCTGTGGGGCAGAGGAGGAAGGGGTAGAGGTGAAATAATGAGAGTGAGGTGACTCAGAGATCTGAAGCATGCACAGCCAGAGAGCAGGATTATCCAGCCAGATGGACCCCAGACATACAAGCATACTCCCTACCTCCCTTCATGCATCAATCCAATTAGACCAGTTGGGCAGGAACAGACCTATGGGAAAGGCTTGGGGCAGGGGAGGGCTTCAGGCATCCTCAACTCTTCCTGTTATTCCACCATTAGGGTTTTTCCCTTGGACTGAGGCCAGCTAAACAATGCTAGCCAGCTGCTTTCCTGGACAAGGTTTCTGGGGGCATCAGGAGGTAGCCCAGAGCCTCCAGGAGAGAGGTCAGGGGCTGCCTTGATGTTCACTTGTCTCCTTAGCCCTTGAGAGTTGTGCCAGTCTCTCTGGGCTACCCAGTTATCACTCTGAGACCCTTCTTCCTGAACAAGATCAGCAGCCACCACCTCTGTACACACATCCACAGTCCCCTATGCCCTGGGCCCTCCTTTCCCTCAGCCCAGCCGGCCTGGAAGACCAAGCTCAATTGGTAGCCCACTGTGAGTGTCATTTCTCCAAGGCCACCAGGCTGAAGATTCTGTGGCTTAGGCTCAGCCACAGCTGCAGGCCCAGGCAGTACTTTCACCCCAGTGTTTTCCTTTACCCCACCCTGGCAGGCAAGCCTGACCAGGCCTGAACATCAAGCAAGTCTCAATAAACAGCTTCTGAATCAGAACAAGGGAAACCACAAATGAACAGGCAAGCATATGTTCACTGATGGATCCTTGCTTACCCAGGGTCACACAAACTTGAGGTTTCATGGTCACAAGACATCAAGGTCTCACACACATGCAGTGTGAGACATAAGGTACTTAGTCTTACACTTACCTGTATGTACAAACCCCCGGAATTTGTGCAGAGGCCCGGATGGTCACCAACTGAAGTTTCACAAAAACACAACCACTGACCGAGGACATATACAAAAGGTAATGACACAGCCCAGACTTCACGAATACAGTGGCTTTCAGAAACAGATCCCTACAACAAGGATGGCTTAGGCACAAGACATAGTAGACACAAACAGTGCCAAGGGCCACAATACCTTTAGTGACCCACAGAAATGTTTTTAGTTTTTTTAGTTGGAAGAAAAAATATAAATACACTAATAATGAATACATAATAATGAAACTAGTCTGGACTAAATATCTTAAGTATTTTGTTTTAGTTGTAGTTGGACACAATATCTTTATTTTATTTTTATATGGTGCTGAGGCTCACCCAGCGCCCCGCACGTGCTGGGCAAGTACTCTACCGCTGGACACAACCTCAGCCCTAAATTTATCTTTATGCCTACACAGTTGTAAGATGTATTTTAAAATTTTGTTCTAGTTAAGCTCAGTGGCATATATATGCCTGTAGTCCCAGTTACTTGGGAGTCTGAGGCAGAAAGATCAGTTTATTCCAGGAGTTTGAGACGGGTCTGGACAACATAGCCAGTCACTGTCTCAAAATCACAGTAGTAATAACAATAACAATAATATTGTTTTAAGGGGCTAGGGATGTGTGAGGTCCTGGGTTGAATCCCCAGGACAGGAAAAACAAATGTTTTAAGGAGGAAGACAGCCACAAAGCTAACAGTGCCTAGGGGCCTACCAATGTCATTATGCAGTGGCTTGGAGAAAGTACACTCTCTGAGTCTATAATCCTCAGGCATCCAGACTCTGGGCCACAGACAGGCCTGCCCAGCTGCCTCTGCCACCACCTATCCCTTCCAGACCCAATAAAGTCACAAGGCCCCGCCCACTGCTCTCAGGGTGGGAGGGACCACTGCTGACTCAGCCTCAGCACCACCCCCTTAAAGGACCACCCCCATCAAGGCCCACCCCTGGACCTACAAAAGCTCAGAATTTTCCGCAGCTACTTTTTCCTCCGGGAGTTTCTGGTGCAGCTGGGTCTAGAGTGTGGGACAGCCAGGCTTTTCCTAGGCCACCACCTCAGGATCAGGAAGTTTCTAGGATGACACCCTTCAACCCTGAGGTTAGTAGGGAAAGGCGGGCAGACTGATGGGTGTATAGGAGGGATGGGCTGACCTGTTCTTGGTCTCTGAGCATCCCTGCTTCCAGTGGCTGCCAGAATTTCTGATGGAAGAAACAAGAAAGGGCTTCCATCATCAGTCTGGTCAGTCCGGGGCTGAGGACCCAGTTCTTAGCTCCTCCTCCCTGAATGGATGTCATGGTTTCCTTGGCCCTTGGGGAACATGGGTGGGCAAGATTAGGCCAGGGCAAGAATTATGGGAGGAGATGGCAGAGGCCTGGTCCCAGAGATGACGCTGATGTGCCCTCCACTGGCAGTGGTCCCCTCCATGCCTTTCCTCTGCCCTTTGCCCTCCCTGAGTCCTGCAGGTCAATGTTTAATTAAATCCAGAGCAGAGGTGGAGTTATTAGCAAGGGGTTCATCCCACCTGCCCTGAGCAGGGGTGAGAGAGTTTGAAGCCTGCCTTCAGCTCTGCCTCCCCTGGCCAGGTTTCCTCAGACCCACCTACTGCCACTGCAGCCCACCTGCTTCACATCTGTACCCTCTTGCTGACTTTGGTCTACGTGGCTCAAGGCTCCAGGGGTCCTGTGGTACCCAACCGGCCCTTCATCACAGTTTGGAATGCAAACACCCAGTGGTGCCTGGAGACGCATGGAATAGATGTGGATGTCAGTGTCTTTGATGTGATAGCCAACCGGGGGCAGACCTTCCGCGGCCCTAACATGACCATTTTCTACAGCACGCAACTGGGGACCTACCCCTACTACACAACTACTGGGGAGCCTATATTTGGTGGCTTGCCCCAGAATGCCAGCCTGCATGCCCACCTGGCCCGCACATTTCAGGATATCCAGGATGCCATGCCTGAATCTGACTTCTCAGGGCTGGCAGTGATTGACTGGGAGGCATGGCGCCCACGCTGGGCCTTCAACTGGGATACCAAGGACATTTACCGGCAGCGTTCTCGGGCACTGGTAAGGGCACAGCATCCTGACTGGCCAGAAACTTGGGTGGAGGCAGAAGCCCAGGCCCAGTTCCAGGAAGCTGCACAGGCCTGGATGGCAGGCACCCTCCAGTTGGGACAGGCACTGCGTCCCCGTGGTCTCTGGGGCTTCTATGGCTTCCCTGACTGCTACAACTATGACTTTCTAAGGTCCAACTACACAGGCGAATGCCCACCAGGCATCTGTGCCCAGAACGATCAGCTAGGGTGGCTGTGGAACCAGAGCCGTGCCCTCTATCCCAGTATCTATCTGCCTGCAGTGTTGGCGGGCACAGGGAAAGCACAGATGTATGTACGTCATCGTGTGAGTGAGGCATTTCGTGTGATTATGGCTGCCAGGGACCCCAGTCTGCCGGTGCTGCCCTACACCCAGATCTTCTATGACATGACAAACCGACTTCTGCCCCTGGTAAGTCTACTGTGGCCTACCCACCTTGTAAGCCCAACAACTGAGGCCACACAGCCTTGGGACACTTTCATCTATTCTCACATTTGAGTTCAACTTTGTGCCAAGTTCTGTGCTAAGCACAGGTGATTCAGCATTTATTAGAAAGGTTTAGACCCTGTCTTCATGGCATTTGTAGGTTACAGGGAGGACAGGCTTACAGCTTACATCTGGCTACCAGGGCTACAGAAGCCTTGGATGGGGTTATAAATTATTTGTCCCATCCAGCGGTGTCACAGCAGTCTGCTGCAAGGAGGGAGGGCGGCCCCACAAAGCTGTGCTTGCTCCTTCCCAGGAGGAGTTGGAGCATACCCTGGGAGAGAGTGCAGCCCAGGGGGCAGCAGGAGTGGTGCTCTGGGTGAGCTGGGAAAACACAAGCACCAAGGTAAGCTCAGGTCTGAGGACTGGCTGGTGGGTGGCTCACACTAACTTGGGAGACCCTGGCCTACCCTTTTTACTTCTGAAGTCCTGGCTGGCCAGCACATGGGTACCTTGGTGTCCTAGGTGGGCCTGTGCATGGCTCTACTGTCCCTGATGCTCTCCCTCCCACCCAGGAATCATGTCAGGCCATCAAGGAATATATGGATACTACCCTGGGGCCCTTCATTCTGAACGTGACCAGTGGAGCTCTTCTTTGCAGTCAAGCCCTGTGCTCTGGCCATGGCCGTTGTGCCCGTCGCTCCAACCACCCTGAAGCTCTCCTTATCCTCAACCCTAACAGTTTCTCCATCCAGCTTATGCCTGGTGGCAGGTCCTTGACCCTGAAGGGTGCCCTCTCACTTGAGGATCAGGCACAAATGGCTATGGAGTTCAAATGTCACTGCTATCATGGCTGGCGTGGAGAGTGGTGTGAGCAGCAGGGCATGTGATGACTGGTCACATCCAGTTGCACACATTGAGCACCTAATGCACTCTGCAAGTGGTCATGGCTTCCTCAGATACAGGCACAATCACAGGAGTCATGGTTATAGTCAGGAGTACACTGAGTCACCGTCATAGGCATATGGCCTGCTCATGCACACTCAAAGCCAGATAGTCACATAAAGAGTTAGAAACCAGGGGCAGACATCATCCACTCCGTGTCCACATGTGTCTACTTAGAAAGGTAACAGCTCCAGAGACACTAATCCAAGTCTTTAAATTCATCCAGTGCCTGCTTTGTGCCAAGCCATGTGCTAAGCATGTTAAGGAGGTTAACTCATTCTCTAAAATGAGGCTATGAGAAAGTGAGGCACCCACAGGATGCCTTTTTGCCCAAGGTTGCACAGCAAGAAAAGAGAGATGCTGAGCCAGGCACACCTGTAATCCCAGCAATTTGGGAAACTGAAGAAGGAGAATCACAAGTTTGAGAGCAGCCTCAGAAACTTAGGGAGGCCCTATCTTAAACATAAAAGAATAAAATTTTTAAAAGGGACTGGGCATGTAGCTCAGTGCTTAAGCGCCCCTGGGTTCAATCCACAGTACCAAAAAAAAAAAAAAGAGAGAGAGAGAGAGAAGCTGAGATTCAAACCCAGGCTGTCTCCAGGGATAGAGCCCTTGTGCACCTACTGTGGTGCTGAAGGTAACTAGCCTTAAGCGACTGAGTCCGCTGAGGCACCGCACAACCCAGCAAATAAAGCAGTCATGGTTTACTTAGCGATTTACTGAGTGCCTAAAATGGGCAGGCCCCTCAGCACCAGAGGGCAGGAAAGGTTCCTCTCTTTCCCTTAAGTCTAAAGTCTGCTTGAGGGCGGCTGCTTCCCAGTGTGGGTCCAAATTCCCGGAAGCTCCACCTGATCTAAACATGTTGGATAGGCTCTGGAGGACGACCCAACCTAGTCAAAACGCGACAGGATCTGGGGCCGGGACGGGGCGGAATCCTCTGGAGGAAGGGCCTGCGTCCGGCTAAAGCAGTAACGTACGGGCCTCGGGGCTGGGCCTCCACGGAGCCGAACTGGGGCAGCGATGCAGAGGACCAGAGGCGGGACCTTCACGAGGCGGGTCTGGGAGGAAGCCGTGCCAACAGATCCAGCTTAGCTCAGCAGGGGCGGCAGCAATAGCAGGGGCGGCGCGGGCTCAGTGTTGTGACGCGCAGAACCAGGGGCGGGGCCTAGGCGGGGAAGTTCCCTTGCCGGCCGAGGGCCTGACCACCTCGAGAGATTTCGGACTGGGAAGTGTGCGGTGGATTTCGATGGCTGCAGTACGTCCGCCGCACCGCTGGGGGCCAGCGCGGACCGACCGAAGAGTCTGAGCGAGAGACAGTGGGATACCGAGCCGTGCGGAGCGAGGACGCGGGACATCCCCGAGCCCGGAATCAACATGTCAGTACCGCCCCCACCCCACTACTGCCTGTCGGTGCTTCCCGCGCGTACGGTCCCCAACTAGCCGTGTCTTCCCGCATGCCCTCCCTGCGTCGGTGGTTCTTTCCTAGAACATACCGAGCCACACCTACCCAGAGAGTTAAATTTTCGAAGCCCCACCCCCAAAACTCCACCGTCTATGATCTACAGAAGTGGGAAAGGGAGTTAGGTATTAGCCGAGGCAGAGGAGACAGTGGGGTGGCTTTTTAAAGACCCAGAAACTAGCCCCGCCCACAGTGGGTGGGGTTGGCACTGAAGGGGTTAAGCCCGCCTGGCATCCTGGAACTGCAGGCGGATCCTGGGCTTACTCCCTCCAGACCAAGGGTGCTGCTGCTGCTACTGCTACTACTGTTGCTGCCACTGAGGTGGCTGATGCAGGTGAGAGGCTTAGATCCCTGTGAATGGGATGTGATGTGAGGGGAGGGAGATGCCTGTTATTGACTAGTGTTGTTGGATTGTCCTCAAGCTCAGGGAAGATGGGGAAGTAGGGTCAGGAGGCACTGTCTGGAGCAGGAGTAGAGGTGTGGGGCCCAGCTACTCACCCAGTGTAAGAAATCCTCTAGTATAGACCCTCTTGCCAGCAAGACCTGGAATAAGGTGGGCAAACAATGGTGTTTGAGAATAGGAGATCTGGGCCCCCAACCAGGTAGCCGTTGGGCGCCTCAGTGGATAAAGGAAGGAAACTGTGGTCCTTATCTAGGGTGGCTACGAAACTCAGGCCAGAGGGAACCAGGCCTGCAGAAGCAACATTATATGTGATTGTGGGCTAGGCCCTGGGCTGGTGCTGCTGGGGCCCCATCTGTGGGGACATTTGAGTCCTTGCCCAAAGTCTCCTGAGCTGGGCAGAGTTGGAGAAGGGGCCATGGGCTTTGGGCCCCAGGCAAGAAAGGCAGTAGAGAGAAGGGAAGGTGAGCTGATGGGTGAGTGCATGGGGCCTAAGGGTCACCCGGCAATTGAAAAGGTTGGGAGCTGAAGGAAAGCTGATATGTAAGGAGATGGAAGGGACAGGGGAACTCCTGGGGGCAGCGTTTCCTCCATGGAAAACCTCAGGTGGGTGTGAACAGGAGGCATGATGTCTGGTTTGCACCTTATGTGTGCAAGGTTGGCCAGCCATATTGGACTTCTAGAGATAAAACGGCCAGCAAGTATTAGCTGGGTTGACTGTCCACACACAGTGAGGTTCTAGGGAGGACAAATTTATAACCACAGTGGGTAGAGACCAGGACCCGTGGGTTCTGCCCCAGTCTTCAGCATTCACCATTACTCTCAGCCTTCCTCCAGTATGTGGCAGGGCACATGGGTCCATACACCCTGCCCCCCTCCACCTGAGGTATAAAGGATGGGTCTCTTCCAGGCCACCTGTATCATCAGGTGAGTTTGGAACAAGGTGCAGCCCATCATGCCCCAGTCCTAGGATGCATGTGCCCCTTTGCACTCATCAGTCCTTCCCTGCCCCAACCTTGTCTTCCTGCCACAGCCCAGCATGGCTGTTATTGATAGGAGGAGAGCCCCTGTAGTCTGAGGAGATGCCACTGCTTGAAGACTGGCCTTAATCTCCAGCCTGGCACTGAGCCACCTGCAGCCTAACAGGAGTTAACCTTGGCTCCCAGCCTGACTCAGCTGAGCCTGGATCGTACGAGTAGGCAAGAGCTCACTCTGAGCCCCTGGCCCAGCTACTCTGACCTCTACCCTAGACCCTCTGCACTGGATGGAGCTGATCCTGAGTAACAGCCCAGCTAAACTGACTCTGGGTCCTGCTTGCCAACCAGAGTTGACCCTGAGATTCAACCTGACCAAGCTAACCCTGGATCCCACACACCAGCCAGAGGTGACCCTGAGCCCCAGGCTAGCTGAGCTGACCCTGGATTCCACATGCCATCCAGAGATGACCCTCCGTCCTGACCCAGCTGAGCTAACCCTGGATCCCAGACACCAGCCAGAGGAGACCCCACTCCCCAGCCTGGCTGAGTTGACACTGGAGCCTGTGCATTGTCGACCTGAGCTCCTGGATGCTTGTGCTGACCTCATCAATGACCAGTGGCCCCGCAGCCGTGCTTCTCGCCTACACTCCTTGGGCCAGTCCTCAGATGCCTTCCCTCTCTGCCTGATGCTGCTGAGTCCTGGTCTTACCCCTGAAGCAGCTCCCATTGTGGTGGGTCATGCCCGTCTGTCACGAGTGCTGGATCTGCCCCAGAGCCTCTTAGTGGAAACAGTGGTTGTGGCCCGAGCCTTTAGGGGCCGTGGCTTTGGCCGCCGTCTCATGGAGGGCCTGGAAGTCTTTGCTCGGGCCCGGGGCTTCCGTCGGCTGCACCTTACCACTCATGATCAGCTATACTTCTATGCCCACCTGGGCTACCAGTTGGGTGAGCCTGTTCAAGGCCTTGTCTTCACCAGCCAACGGCTGCCCTCCACCCTGCTCCGTGCCTTCCCAAGGGCCCCCTCTTCCCGGCCATCCTGCAAAGTCCCAAGCCTGACTGCTCAAGCAGCCCCAAGGGGACCTAAGGGGCCTCCACTGCCACCACCCCCTCCCCTGCCCCAGCCCACCTCACCCTCATCTCCAGAAGGGCCCCTTCCACAAAGCCTGCTGGAGACACAATACCAAGACCTCAGGGGATGCCCCATATTCTGGATGGAAAAAAATATCTGAGGGCCCCTTGGGACAAAGCACTGCCCTTCTGAGTCCCTGAACTTCCCAGAACAATACCAGCCTCAGCCCACTGACCATATTTCATCCCTTAACCCCTGGGGGCAGCTTTAGCCTGGGTATGTTTCCTGGGTATCAGTGGGGGGCTAAATGGGGTAGCTCCAGTAGCTCTGGCTTAGAGTCATCAGTGTAGCTGAATAAAGGCTTCTGTTGAGTGTAGGTGTGACAGTTTTTTGTTGATCTCCACCCTCACTTTTCAGGTTCCCTATTCCTGAAGAAGTCCTGGGATCCAGATTGGCTCTGGGGCCATTGATGGGGTGACACCTGTCCTTTGCCCCTCCTAACTTGCCAGTCACAGGAGACAGAATGGCTCTTCCTTTCCCCATTCATTCCCTCATTACCTTTCGCTGAGCCCTACTGTGCCTGGCCCTGGACTGGGCATAGGTAATGGGGAATTATACAAGGTCCCATTCAAGGGGACAGATGGGCATACCATGTCAGGATCCATTGTGGGATAAGGAAGTTCAGAGGCTTTGGGAGGACAAGGGCCCTCACTTCTTCTAGGGGTCCAGAATACCCAGAGGTGATGATACTGAGTAGGAATTAAGTGAGGCAGACAAGGTGGTGAGAGCTGAGTGTTCTTGGAGCAGGGAACAAGATGGGAAGATGAAAGAAGGGGACTTGTGATAGCTGTGGGGTGAGGAGGTCTTGGAGGACACAGTGGTACCTTGACAGAGACAGAGAACACCAGAGGAGAACTACCCAGACCAGTTTGGGGTATGGCTGCTCTGAAAGGCTTATGGGATCCCTTGGAAACCACCTTTTCCCCATCCCCCGTCCTTGTGGGGAGGAGCTGGGGAGCTTTCCCTGCTCTTCCTGCTATGCAGAAGGCATGGCTGTGGACTCCAAGCTCATATCCCTTTTTTTCTACAGGTTTCCATCTCTGTGTTACGACCATGCAGCTAGGCCCAGTCCTGATGATGGGGGTGGCCCTGTGCCTGGGGTATGGCCAGCCTTTGCCACAGGCTCCTCCTGATCACCCCTTCTATGTGATATGGAACGTACCCTCAGCACGCTGTAAGGCCCACTTTGGTGTGCACTTACCACTGAAAGCCTTGGGCATCATAGCCAACCATGGACAGCTTTTCCATGGCCAGAACATCTCCATCTTCTACAAGAACCAGCTTGGCCTCTATCCCTACTTTGGGCCCAGAGGCACAACTCACAATGGGGGTATCCCCCAGGCTGTGTCCCTAGGCCGCCACCTGGCACAGGCTACACACCAGATCCGTCATAGTCTAGGACCCAGCTTTGCTGGCCTAGCAGTGCTGGACTGGGAGGAGTGGTATCCTCTCTGGTCTGGGAACTGGGGCCGCCGCCACACCTACCAGGCAGCCTCCCAGGCTTGGGCACAGCAGGTATTCCCTGACTTGCACCCTCAAGAGCAGCTCCACAAAGCCCGTGCTGGCTTTGAACAGGCAGCCCGCGCACTGATGGAGAACACACTGCAGCTGGGCCAGACACTGCGACCCCATGGACTCTGGGGCTTCTATCGTTACCCAGCCTGTGGCAATGCCTGGCATGGTACAGCTTCCAACTACACAGGCCACTGCCATGCAGCCACCCTTGCCCGCAACACCCAATTGCATTGGCTCTGGGCTGCCTCCAGTGCTCTCTTCCCCAGCATCTATCTCCCACCCAGGCTACCGCCTGCTCACCACCAGGCCTTTGTTCGACACCGCCTGGAGGAGGCCTTTCGTGTGGCCCGTGCTGGGCACACACATCCTCTGCCTGTCCTGGCATATGCCCGCCTCACACTCCGGAAGTCTGGGAGGTTCCTGTCCCAGGTAAGTAGAAGGTGAAATTTAGGGGTCTGCATTGAGCACTATGGTCCTGTCCTATAGAAGTCTTAAGGAGAAGACCTTGATTTAAAAGGAAGGTCCTAGTCTAGGGGTTCTTAGAGGAAAGCCCTATCCTGGAGCATCTGAAAAAGGAGCCATGGCTCTGTGTCAGAAGGTCTGAAAGTATAAGGCAGGGCATAACCTTTGGAACCCTGGTTCAAGGAGGGTCATTCTGAGTGGAGGGCATGTGAAACCCTCTCAAAGACCCAATGCAAAGGCACCCAACTCTAGAGTTGAAATCAGTTGTGACAGTGAAAGTTTCTTGATCGTGAAGGTGGGCCCAGATGGGTCCAGCCAGTTCAGCCTGGCTTAGCAGCTCTTTGCCTCCAGAATGACCTGGTTCAGACCATTGGTGTGAGCGCAGCACTGGGGGCAGCCGGCGTGGTGCTCTGGGGGGACCTGAGCTTCTCCAGTTCTAAGGTGATCATTATCCCCTTCCGCCTGTACATGCTGGGGCCCAGGATGGGGGAGAGGCCTTGTCAAGGATATGGAGCAAGAGCACCGACACATCCTTTCCTTCCGCCTCAGGAGAAGTGCTGGAGTCTCCATGACTACCTGGTGAGCACCCTAGGCCCCTATGTGATCAATGTGACCAGAGCAGCCACAGCCTGCAGTCTCCAGCAGTGCCATGGCCATGGGCGCTGTGCCTGGCAAAACCCAGGAAAAATGGAAGCCTTTCTGCACCTGCAGCCAGATGGCAGCCTTGGAGCTTGGGAGTCTTTCAGCTGTCGCTGTTACTGGGGCTGGACTGGCCCTACCTGCCAGGAGCCGAGGCCTGGGCCTAAGAAAGCAGTATAAAGCCAGGAGTCCCTGTTCCTACCTATTCTTGTCCCTGCTGCCACTTTCCTAGTCCTGGAGGAACCCCCCCCCCCCTTTTGCTCTATTCAGCTTACAATCAATACATTCCCAAGCACACACTTTCGCTCCCACTTCCCTTGGGATCTCTGAGGGGTGGAAAGGGCCAGAAAAAACGCTTATAAAACCAAAGTCCTCTGAGATCATCTGACTCCTCATGACACAAAGCAGCCTCTGGCAAAGTCAGGGCTCCAGCTGGTTAAGGGTTGCCAGCCCAGGGCTTTGTTCCTATACCTTAGTGGGTCCACAGAGAAGTCACAGGAGGGCCATCCACGGGCAGATGTTCCCAAGAAATCTGGGATATGGTCTCTAAATGCTAAGCTGTTATCTGCACTACGTTTTCATCATAAAGTCACTTTTTCTTTCATTGTCTGAAAGGGTCTGTTCTCCCTATAGGGTCCCAGAATTTAGCCTGAGCCTTTGAGCAAGTGAACCGCTGCAAGGGCCCTAAAATGTCGGTCTTGCCATGGTGCTTCATCCGTGGAAGGAAAGATCAGAGTTGAGGACTGTGCCATCGTGCACAGCGCGGGGCTGGACGGCGGGCAGGGAATTGTGGGTGCAGAGTTCAGATAGGGCGGGCACGGCTTGTGGATCCAGGAGTTAACTGCGACTACCGTGGTGCTCTGCTTCTAGACAGCAGGCCCTAACCTGTGCGCGCAGCCCCCTGGGAATAGTAGTTCCGGGGCCGTGGATGTGGGTCTGAACCAGGTGGCCGGGAACTCGCCTTCCCAGCTACCCGTTTGGCAGGGCGGGGCGCCTCGCGAAGATGGTGGCGCGCGCGGCGTGTGGCTCCCGTCGTCTGTCCAAGTCTCAGCACAGCGCACCGGCCAGCATCTCGCTGGTTTGGAGCGCCCGCCCCCCTGGTCCCTGACCCCGCGCCCCCCATACCCAGTTCCCAGCATGCCCCGTGCCCGTAAGGGCAACGCGCCCCGCAAGGGCGGCCAGCGCCGTGGAGGTGAGTGGGGGGCTCCAGGCAGCTGTTCAGCAGCGAGCAGAGGCCCCGCGTGGGTCCCCGTCGTGTCCCCGAGGGTCCTGGGGCTGGGAACACCTCTTAATTAGCCTAGCCTCCCTGAACTGTGCCGAGGCCCGCACGTGTCCCAGCAGGCATCGGCCACGTGTGCGCCCAACTTGAGCGCGCTGCCAGCCGCCTGTCGGGATCCCGCGTTCCCAGTGGTGACTCAGCCAGTACCTTTGGACATTGATTTTCCCACTGCCCCTCCACCCCATTTGCCTGCTGGGGTGGATAAACCTACTGGACAGAGAGCGAAGCTAGCCTCCTTGCCAAGTGGTCCCTTGTCCTTTGGTGGTCTGGACAGGGAAGCTGGCAGACGCCTAACTTGCTCCCAAAACTGAAAGAGGTGAGGTGCGACTGGGAAACTACAGAATCCGGGTGATTCCTGTCAGGGGACTGGATGAATACCCTAGAGCCTGAGGCAGTCTTAGTTATTGCTTATCAACCAAGAACCTGTCCTGTTGAAGTAAACACATATGTTTGTTCTGATGCGATAGAGTGTCTGACCACCGCCTAATGGGGCTTGGGTGTGGAACACTAAATAGGGTAGTGACAGTTCAAAGGGACTGGTGCTGAAACTTTTTCACTGAGTGGTGTCAGCCCCAGACTGAGGAACTTAGGAAATCACATGCAAAGAGATCCTCTGGGTGAATTCTGAGAAGATGAGAAGAGATAACCATGGAAAGAGAGCAGATTGTACAGAGATTTGGCAGCTGTGGGGATCATAACACAGTGGAGCAAATGAGGGAAGGCTGGGCTGCTTTTGCAGCTAGGTAGAGAAGAAGTGAGCAGGGGCAGTGTGCCTGCTGGACTTTTTCCTACAGGCAAGGAGTATAAGTAGTTTCTGAGATGTAGGGTCAGCCTTGTTGTCAGAACCTGTCCAGGGCTTTGCCACAGTAGCCACCCTTACCAAAGTAGCACGTAGCCTTGGACAGAACATATATCAGGAAGGCTCTCGCTAGAGATTTCCCTGTGTTCTCCTTTTTTAGGGGCCAGTTTCTTCTCTACCAGGGTCAGGAGGACTGTGTTTATCTAAAATCCACCATAGCTGAAGGTCCTGGATGGACTAAAGGAAGCTCAGAAGACAATATACTTGAAGCATGGGATACCCAGCACATTCAGTAGAAGCTGGGCTTTTGCTCTCAGAACTCATAGGTGGCTTGATGAATTTGTTGGCCTGCAGCAGAACCATAACAAACCACTTGTCTTCAGCTGCTCCACCTTAAATGCATTTGCTTCTCTGTTTTGCAGATAGAGAAATGGAGGCTTCAAAGCCAGGGCAACTGACCCATTACAACTCTGTTAAGATATAGAGCTGGAGGTGCTGGGGTTTGTGGCTTAGCAGTAGACTGCCGCCTAGTATGTTCAAATCCCTGGGTTTGATCCTCGGCACCACATAAAAATAAATAAAATAAAGGTATTGAGTCCAACTACAACTAAAAAATAAATACTAAAAAGAAAAGATGTAGAGCTGGGGGCTTGGGTTGTGGCTCAGTGGTAGAGCACTTGCCTGGCAAGTGTAATGCACTGGGTTTGATTCTCAACACCTCATAACAATAAATAAACAAAATGAATGTGTTAAAAAACAGAAAAAGTTGGCTGGGACTGTGGCTCAGTGGTAAAGTGCTTGCCTAGCATGCATGAGGCACTGGGTTCAATTCTTAGCACCACATACAAATAAAGGCCCATTAACAACTAAAAATATTTTTTAAAAAAGTAGAGCTGGGGACCAAGGGTGTAGTCCAGTGATAGGACACTTGCCTAGCAAGTCCAAGGCCCTGGGTTTGCTCCCTAGCTTGGCGGGGAAAAAAGAAGTGAGCTGGAGTTTGAACCCCAGGTCTGTCTAACTATAATCTAAGACCCTGACCTTTGTATTGCCCACTTTAGGGCATAATCCAAGCTGGGCCACAGGCCTAGTTGGACCCATACAGCCCCTCCCTTCTACCTCTAGTTTGGCTTCCAGTCTCTTCCTTAAAACAGGCTTTGAGGGCTGGGGATGTGGCTCAAGTGGTAGCGCGCTCGCCTGGCATGCGTGTGGCCTGGGTTTGATCCTTAGCACCACATACAAATAAACGTTGTGTCCGCCGAAAACTAAAATATTAATATTAAAAAATTCTCTCTCTCTCTCTCTTTAAAAAAAAAAAAAAAAACAGGCTTTGATCTCAGGGAGGCTCTTTCCACCAAGTCTGCCACATTATCCCTAGCTAAGCCTTATTCTTGACACTTTTCAAAAGATTGATCTCCTTCCCTTTTTCTTGCTTCTTGGCTCAAGTCTGCTGTTTCAGTTCGTGTACTGCCCAACTCAGTTTTGGCCCCCTCATCTTTGAGGGGGGGCAGCATTCTGTCCTGTTTAGTTATGAGGTTGAGTGAGATATGCCCAACCCTCATTAATGGAAGCAAGCCACTTTTTTTGTTTGTTTGTTTGAGACAGAGTCTTGCTGTTTGCCAAGGCTGCCCTCAAACTTGCAATTCTCCTGCCTCAGCCTCCTGAGTAGTTGGGATTACAGGTGTATACCACTGAACCCCACAAACATATCCTGTTTTTACTCTCATCAGGTGCCCGGAGCAGTGCCCAAGCTGACTCAGGTTCCAGTGAGGATGAGGCAGCCAGTGAGGCCCGCAGCACCACCAGTGACTGTCCCAGCCTTCTCAGCACCACAGCAGAGGACAGTCTGGGTGAGAGCAGGTGGCAGTTTGGTCGGGGCTTGGCTCAGGCTCCACTGGGCGAGGGCAAGAAGTGGTGCTGACCCACTGGCCTTGCAGGGGGGGATGCCGTGGATGAGCAGGGCCAACAGGAAGACCTTGAGGAAAAGCTGAAGGAATATGTGGACTGCCTCACAGACAAGAGGTATTCCTGGCTGCCAGCCAACTCCTACAGTGGGGCCCTGCTCAGCCCATGCCAAATATGACAAAGGAGGCTGGCCCCCATGACCCCCCTTCTCTATTTCCCCAGTGCCAAGACCCGGCAAGGAGCTCTAGAGAGCCTGCGCCTGGCCCTGGCCTCCCGCCTGCTTCCTGACTTCTTGCTAGAGCGCAGCCTTACACTGGCCGATGCCCTGGAAAAGTGCCTCAAGAAAGGTTAGGCCCTTAGGGTGCATGGGGAACCTTAACTAGGCAGGAGGTGATCCTTGCTGCCTTGGGCTAACTGAAAGGATCCCACAGGGAAGGGTGAGGAACAGGCCCTGGCTGCTGCTGTCCTAGGCCTGCTGTGTGTGCAGCTGGGCCCTGGACCCAAGGGTGAGGAGCTGTTCCACAGCCTGCAGCCCCTGCTGATCTCTGTGCTTAGCGACAGCACAGCTAGCCCTGCTGCCCGGCTCCACGTGAGTATTCCCAAGCGCCAAAGAACCTTTCCTTCACCTTATCCCTAAGAAGAGTGATAGATTTCACCTGTTCAGGCTCCCCTACTCTAAGGGAGTTGAGCCCCATGGCTGGGAAGCTGGGTTCACTCCCTAACCAGGTCTGGCTCTGTCCTCCTTCCAACAGTGTGCTTCTGCTCTCGGCTTGGGTTGCTATGTGGCTGCTGCTGATGTCCAGGTAAGTGGCCTTTGGACACAAGTGGTACCACCTAAACCCATAGGTCTGTCCCTGAGTCCATCCCCTGCCTCCCTGTGCTCCTAGGACCTGGTCTCTTGCCTTGCCTGCTTGGAAGGTGTTTTCAGCCGGTCCTGTGGCACAGGTGGTTCCACAACTCCTGTGGTCCCTGCCAGTCTTCATGGGCTGCTTTGTGCTGCCCTGCAGGCCTGGGCATTGCTGCTCACCATCTGCCCCAGCACCCATATTAGCCACATCCTCAACAGGTAGGGGCAGCTGTCCACTGGGAGTGGGAGGAGATCATGATGGGGCCCCCAACAATGCCCACATGTAGCTTAGCATGCCTCTTCCCTAGGCAGCTGCCCCGGCTGCCCCAGCTCTTGTCCAGTGAAAGTGTGAACCTGCGGATTGCTGCTGGTGAAACCATCGCACTACTCTTTGAGCTTGCCCGGGACCTTGAGGTATGAGTGACAATGGGGGTTGTGGGGGGTGCCTGCTTGTGCTATTGCCCATCCCAGACTGGATGCAGAACATGCCACAGATAACAGAGCAGCCTGGGGTCATTATGCAGGGAAGATGGCCTCAACATTGACTCACATGCTAGGAGCTGTGATGGGGACTCTGAACAGTGGTATTCTGTATAGGCAGAGGCCAAGGAGGGGTTGAGGGAGGTCAGACAGAAGAGGAGGATTCTCAGTGAAAGAAAGGCTTCAGGCAGCTTACATTAAGAGCCAACCGGGGGGGGGGGGCAATGGAGCTCACAACCCCAATCTTCGTCGCCCCCCCACAGGAGGACTTCATTTATGAGGACATGGAGGCACTCTGTGGTACCCTGCGCACTCTGGCCACTGACAGCAACAAGTACCGTGCTAAGGCTGACCGCCGGCGCCAACGCTCTACTTTCCGTGCTGTGCTGAACTTTGTTGAGGTGCGTGTGAGAACGAGTGTGTTCTAGCACGAGTGCATCCCCAGGCATAGCAGCCAAGCCCAGTTGTGTGGGCCCCTCTACCCTGCAGGGCAGTGAATGTGAGGAAGAGACGATCCGCTTTGGACTTGAAGTGCTCTATGTGGACAGCTGGGCCCGGCACCGGATCTATGCTGCCTTCAAGGATGTGCTGGGTTCCGGCATGCACCACCACCTTCAGGTGGGAGGCCACTCAGGGAGGGCTGCCCAGCTTGGCTACTTGGGACTGTCCTGAGTTTATTGCCTTCTTTGTCCTCAGAACAATGAGCTTCTTCGTGACATCTTTGGCCTGGGCCCGGTGCTGGTGCTGGATGCCACTGCCCTGAAGGCCTGCAAAATTTCACGCTTTGAGAAGGTTTGTGCCCTAGGCACCTGTACTTTCCCTCTCTTCCCGTTTCCTGGGGGCCTGGAGCTCAGCAAGGGCTGCCAGAGGAGCCTGGGCTTTTCCCTTCCTGGCTCACCATGTCACTCTCTTTGCCCCTACCCCAGCACCTGTACAATGCTGCCGCCTTCAAAGCCCGGACCAAGGCTCGCAGCCGTGTAAGGGACAAGCGGGCAGACATCCTGTGAGGCGGACCAGCTGAAGAGAAGACTACCCTCATTGTTGCCCACATTTTTAACAGAAGAGAGTGCAAGAACTGGTCTCTGCCAGTGATTGTCACTTTATTTTTTTAATGGCAAAACCAAAAACAGATATAGGGTGGATGGGTGAAGGGTCAGGACTTTTGGGACCCTGGCCTTTGTCCCTGCACTCAACCCTATGGCCTCTTCCTGCCCTTTCTCAGGTGAGGCCAAATGTGTGCCTCTCCCAGGGTAGTCAGTAGGGAAGCTGTCCCTCTCTTTCCTTTTTTTAGGCCTTGTTCCCCTGGGGTAACACACTCTCTTTGGGGGACTGGCATCTGGACAAATGCCATCATAGTAGGTGTGGAAGCAAAGCAACCTGGAATGGATTTGTGCAGATTTTTAAAGATTATATAAGAGATAATTAAACAGAATTCTCAGCTTCTTGTGGCCTTGACTCTTAGGTATTTCGGCCCCCCTCTCCCTCCCCATCCACCATCCCAAATTTGGGCCAGCTGGGTCTCCCCCATCTCACTTTTGCCCTCCATGGCAGTCTCTCCTCAAGTGGGGCTCCCTTACCTCAACTCAGAACCCAGCCTGTCCTTGAGAACTGAGGCCGGACCCCCACTGGGAGGCCTGGCAACACTACAATGGGGGCAGCTATTTCTAGACTTCTGAACCTTCTATCTAGGGGTAGCCAGAGGGTGCTGACAGGCCACAGGAGAAGCCAGGAGGCTGGTGCTCTGTCCTGACCTTGAGCCACCCAAAGCAGGTCCTTGGCATCAAAAGGCTTAGCTTTATCTAGGCCTAGCCTGAAGAGGTCAGGAGAGGGAGGCAGGCAGCTGTAGAGTCACATCAGGCTCTTATACAAAAATTTCACCAAGGAAGTAGTGTAGACCAGCACTAGGAGAGGAGAGGCCTGCCCATGGCTGCTTTATTCCCCCACATAGAACCCCAGACCATGAGTTCAAGTGGTTATCTCAGCTGGGTGTTCGGGCTTCACTGGAGTTCAGCCTCCTCAGCTGGCTGAGACTGGCTAAGCGGAGTTTGAGCAGAGTCTCCTCCTGTGTTCGAAGTGTGTGTGCTAGGACCCGCAGGGATTCACTCTGCAACACTGGAAATGTACAGGCATTTGTGGAACCTGTCAGACCACGTTGCTCCCCCAGACCTCCCCCAATCAGCCCAGCATCAGGGAGTTCCCATTGGCCCCTGACCACCCTTCATTGCTGCAGCATCTGCAGTTGCTCTTTCCAAAGAGCCACCCAATGCCGACTGCCTTGCCCTCAGTTCCCACCAGCTCTGTCCATCCCTACCACTCAGGTAGACAGCCAAGATTGCAAGTGCCAGGCAGGTGAGCACCAGCAGTGCCAGCAGTAATAGGAATCCCCCACGGCCACACACTGGGCTGCAGCCAGCCTGGGTACACAGTGATGGCGGCAAGACACCTAGCAGCTCATCCCACTGCCGTGCCTCTTCAGCCAAATAGGGACGAATGGATCCTATGGGGAGGATGAGATATTAGGAGGGCAATTTCCTCTCCTCCCCCAGTACATCCATCTCTCACCCCTGCCCCTACCTACCTCCACTGTGCAGGTCACTGATGGACTCCACTCTGTGCAGATGCACCTCCTGCACATGGTTGGGGTCCAGTGGCCCCCTGCTCCTCTGGCTGTGCATTGATGCCACAGTGTCTGCAGGGAAGTGAGTCTGATTCAGCCAGACAGGTCACTTCTTCCCTTCTCCCAGATAGCCCTCAAGAAGCAGGGACTTGGGAAGGATGGAGACAATGGGAATTTGCTCCAAATCCCCTACAACTTCAGGAATGACCTTGGTTCAGATCCAGAATAACCTCAGCTACTTACTTGTACAGTAGCAGGTACACTCAACTTGCTACCATGTATCATTCCAAGCACCTGGAGGGACTTTCAGCTACTTAGCTGCCTGCTCATTTGTTTGTTTGTTTTTTGATGGTACTGGGGATTGAACCCAGAGCCTTTTGCATGTGAGGCAAGCTATATTCCCCAGCCCCCTGCCTGCTCATTTCTAGCAAATAGTTATTCAGCCTTGCAGGACTAAGTCCACAGTACACACAGTTCAGTCCTCTTCTGTTTATCAAAGACCTGTAGACCTGTGAATTAGTCATCTGTCCAGACCTGGTGCTCTGTGCCTTCTGGGCAGCAAACAGCCCCATTCAAGACCATTCAAGACCTCATGGAAACTGGATGTGATGGTACAGGTTTGTAATCCCTGAAACTCAGGAGATTGAGGCAAGTGACTGCAAGTTCAAAGCCAGTCTCAGGGAGTCCCTGTCCGAACACATTGTGGAACCTTTTCTTCCCAGCCTTGCTTCTGTGTTCTTTAACAAACTGAGTGTGATTCTGCTGTTCTGCAAAACCTGCTGTTTTCACTCAACATCACTGAGACTCTTCTATTAAAACACTTTCTCATGTCTCTGCAGGCATGAGACTGCCTGGACATTTAGGTTATTTCTGGGATCCTTTGGAAGTTAACAGCCTCTAGACATCCATCATTGAGTATGAAAATTTCCCCCAATTTCTTGGTAGTCTTTTTTTTTTTTTAACCTTTATTTTATTTATTTTTATGTGGAGCTGAGGATTGAATCCAGTGCCTTGCACATGCTAGGCAAACGCTGTGTCACTGAGCCACAACCCCATCCCTTCTTGGTAGTCTTTAATGACAATTCCCAGAAGAGAAAATTTGGATCCAAGAAGGAAAGGCTTTTTTGGTTTGGTTTTGCTATTATTTTCCAGTACTGAGTATTGAACCCAAGGTCTCACACTGCTAGGCAAGTGCTTTAGCACTGAGTACTTGCCCCCACCCCATTTTGTTTTATTTATTTATTTTTTAATTGTAGACGGACACAGTATCTTTTTTTTTAAAGAGAGAAAATTTGTTTACTATTTATTTTATAGTTTTCAGTGGACACAACATCTTTATTTTTTATTTTTATGTGGTGTTGAGGATTGAACCCAGCGCCCCACGCACGCCAGGTGAGCGCGCTACCGCTTGAGCCACTTCCCCAGCCCACAATATCTTTTTTTTTCCTTTAACATTTTTTTTAACTTTTATTTTCATTTTTTTAGTTACACATGACAGTAGAATCCATTTTGACATGTTTATGCAAACAGAGTATATCGTATTCTAATTAGGATCCCAGTCTTGTGGTTGTACTTGATGTGGAGATTCACTGTGGTATATTCGTATATGTACATAGGAAAGTTAAGTCAGATTCATTCCACTGTCTTTCCTATTTGCTGTCTCCCCTCCCTTCCCTTCATTCTCCTTTGTCTAATCCACCGAACTTCTATTCTTCCCCTCCCCGCGTGTTGCGTGTTAGCATCCACATATCAGAGAGAACATTCAACCTTTTGGTTTTGGAGATTGGCTTATTTGGCTTAGCATAATAATCTCCAGATCTAGCCACTTTCTGGTAAAAGTCATAAAGTCATTCTCCACAATATCTTTATTTATTTATTTTTTTTATGTGGTGCTGAGGGTCCAACCCAGTGCCTCATGCATGTGAGCCAAGTGCTCAACCACTGAGCTACAACCCTAGCCCTTTTTTTTTTTTTTTTTTTTGATTGAACCAAGGGATGCATCCCCAGTCCTTTTTATTTTTTATTTTGAGATGGGGTCTTGCCAAGTTAACTCGGGGCCTTACTAAATTGCTGAGACTGACTTTCAACTTTCAGTCCTGCTGCCTCAGCCTCCCAAGCCTCTGAGATTATAGGCATGTGCCACCATGCCCAGCCTTTTTTTTTTTTTTTTTGGTTGGGAGTGGGGGGAAGGTTTCATTGTGTCACCCAGGTGGGCCTCAAACTTGCCATCTTCCTGCCTCAGCCTCCAGAGAAATCTGGTATTACAGGCATGGGCTACCATTTCTAGTAGGTATTTTGTTTCTCAGCTATCATCAAATTTCCTCCAGAAGGTGTGTCTGCAGCCCCAACATCTCCAACATTAGGCATCCCCACTAGGGGGAAAAAAGTTTATATGCACACAGTTGAATAGTATTTGTAATATGAGAGATAAGCAATTACCTTTATTTACTATTTCTTTTATGGGTATGGAGATCAAACCCATATCCTTAATGTACGCTAGGCAAGTGCTATATCACTAAGCTACAACCTCAGCCTTGAGAAGTTGTCTTTTTTAATTTGTTTGAAGGGTTTTCTTGCTGCTCCTCATACTCCTGGACTCTAGTGATCCTCCTGTCTCAGCCTCCCATGTACCATCAAAGTTTTTGTTTGTTGTATTGTAGTACTGGATATTGAACCCAGGGGTACTCTACTGCTGAATTACACTCCCAGTCCTTTTTATATTTTACTTTTAGACAGGGTCTAAGTTGCCCAGGCTGACCTTGAACTTGCAGTCCTCCTGTCTTAGCCTCCTGAGTCACTGAGATTACAGGTGTATGCCCTTGTGCTGGGCCATCAAAGTATTTTATGATTTCTAAATATGTAAAGTATATATAGTATATATATATGGGACTGAACCCATGTACGCTCTACCACTGAGCAAAATCCCCAGCCCTATTATTTATTTATTTACTTATTGGTACTGGGGATGGAACCCAGGGGCACTTTACCACTAAGCTACATCTCCAACTCAATTTTGAGACAGTCTCACTAAGATGCCCAGGTTGGCCTCAAACTTGTAATCCTCCTGCCTCAGCCTCTGAAGTTGCAACCATGTCCAGATAATCATATTTTCTTCTGGTGTTCTTTGACTTGATTTTTTAAAATCTTGGCCCCATAATTGCTCCAGATACCCACCTAAAAGTTGGATCAGGGAAGGGGGACTTTAGAAGGATTCTTCCTGTTAGAGATAATGGTGGCTTTGGACTCTCTGGGTCTATCACTCTCAGGTCAATAACTCAACTTTCATATTTGCTTGAAGCTATCCCTTAACATGTTCAAAAGCAAGACAAACAAAAACAGATGCTTCCAGACCTCAAGTCTGGGTGATAGTTTGAAGGTCAAGTACCCTCTTTATACTTAGTGTGCTTTTCCCTAATTTAAATTGAACACGGATTCTGTTTGTTACCAAAAACAAAACAAAAAAAACACAGTAAATGTTATTGTTAAGATCTGCCCTCCCCCCAAAGATGAACATTTCCTCTTACCTGAGTTCAAGCCACTCCCCTGTAGTATAAAATGTTGGAAATGTGATGAGAGAGCCAGTCACCTTGACCAAGCTGGATTGTGGGCTATCGCCTAGAACCATAGTCCTGTGACATGGCCAGCCTTCAAATGCAGCTTCCTAGATTCCTGTTGCTATGGCTCCTCTGAGCCTCAGGACTTCTTTTATTAGTAAAGCAGTTAGATGAATGGCCACCAAGCTCTGGAACAGCTGAGTCAGTCTGTCCAGACTGAGGGACCTCAACCCTTAGTCAGTTGGGGAATATTTAGTCCTAAATTAGGGGAAGCCATAGGCCTATCTACTGCTCTGTCCCTAGGCAGTGCCCAAATGGGCCTACCCCCCAGTCCCAGTTTTCTCCCTGAAAGAATAGCTGCACTGGCCAGGCAGCTGTCCGGATACCCACACCCACTAAGAGTGGCCTGTAGTTGACCCCACTCCTAGTGGGTAGCTTTCCCCAATCCTTCCATGCAGGAAAAACTGAGGTAGGGCCTAATGTGGGAAAGGGTTCTAAGCAAGGAAGGCTCTTCATCCACGCATGGGATAGGTCCTTTTACTAGAGCTGGGACATGAAAATTGATGACTAGTCAAACAATGAGGTCAGTGGGACAGAGGGTGAGTCTCTCCATGGTTCACAGGGTAACAGGACTGGGGCCTTGCCCTCCCTCATGATCACCCTCTCCTACCTTCTTGAGTCCCCTCAGGCATGGCAAGTGGTAGTCAGGGGGCCAATGAGGGTGCCCAGTAGCAGGGCTGGACAAAGCAGCAGCAGCGGCTTCTCTGGGAGCCTGGGGAAGGCCTGGCCACTTTCCAATCTAGGCTTAAAATAGGCCTGAGCTCAGCCAGCTGGGCTATATTTAGAGGGGGCAGCTCTTAGCCATCAGAAAGGGTGGAGTGACCCACATGGGTCAGCCTAGACTATCTACCTGATGATAGAGCTCAGCCAAGAGTGTGCTTCCACTAGTACATAGGTCCAGCAGCCTTCTCAGGGAACTGTATCACTTCTATATGTACACAGACCTTGGGGCCTTCATCCAGAATAGCCATCACAGGCTCAGTCTGTAGCAATGCCCCACATGGCAGCCATGACATAAAAGGAGACACTGTGCAACTCTATTCAGGCCTCACCTCTGTAGATCTTTACCCACAGCCTGGCCATCACCTTCCTGCAAACGTGAGACAAACACCCACCACTGTGTGACATGCTAGCACTAGAGATTGTGGATGTTGGACAACTGAAACCCAGTGCCATAAAGGTGCACACATAACACCTATGGTAGCCAGTGGACAGAACTGGATTGGAGATGAGAACTTCCACTACTACTCTTACAACCTTATGTAAAGGATCAACTTTCTCTGTCCTCTGTTTTCTTGATGACTGCCAGAGAAGAACAATGATTCCTCTCTGGCAGTCATCAAGAACATACATACAATCATGTATCTGAAGCACTTACTCTGGAGCACAGTTTTGGTTCTCCCTGTCCTCTCAACAGGGCCCACATGGATCATGTGAAGATCCATAGTGCTGCTTACCCTTGAAGTGGAAGGGTGACTTCCAGCCCTCCCTCTATGAGAGGATCCCTGGGCCCCTCCTATCCAACTGAGGGAAGACTATGGGTTCTACCACCCAAAACATCCCCAATTCATCATTACATGGTATCAAACTGGCCTCCATGCTGCTCCTCAAATTTGGTAATCTTGTTCTCCCTCAGGACTTTGCACTGGCTGTTTCCTCCTGTAATGCTCTGCCCCAAAATATTCCTGTTGCTGTTTTCTTCCTGACTTTCATCTCAAATGTCACCCCTTTAGTGAGGCCTTCTGCTCACATTCCTTTTCCCATCACCCAGTTGTATTTTTTCTTTTCTTTTCTTTTTTTTTTTTTTTTTTTGGAGAGGTGGTGGGGTGGGGAGAGGGGATCAGGGATTAAACTCAGGGGCATTCAACTACTGAGACGCATCCCCAGCCCTATTTTTTGTATTTTATTTAGAGACAAGGTCTCACTGAGTTGTTTAGTTCCTCCCTTTTACTGAGGCTGGCTTTAACGCTCTATCCTCCTGCCTCAGCCTCCGGAGCCGCAGGCGTTACAGACATGTGCCACCTGACCCAAACCGGCACCAGTTGTTTTTTCTTCAGAGCACTTAGCTCACAGATTATATTATGCAGAATATACGATGTATGTGTGTCCCCAAAGGCCCTACAGAACTTGCTCAGTCACTTCAACAACATTATTAATCCTCACCTGGACAATCTTGGACAGAAGAAACTCAGACCTTTATGCCCAATAACACACAGTAAGATCTACAACTAGTGGTCATCTCTGGGGCTATTCCAGCTTTGGTTGATAATGTGTTTATTGCATTACTTTAGTACAGTCGTCCTGCCTCGCCCCGCTCCCAACAGCCCAGCCTATTCACAGCTTTCTGCTCACTGCCCAAGGGAGGGGAATCCCTCTGCCAAGGTGGGCACCCAGAACACCTCCCTGATTGTGCTCCTTGATCTGGAGCCCTGCTTCTCGGTACCTTCCCTCTGGGCTAGATCCCGCACCAGGCCTGGCCGCCCTTCCGGGGCTACATTCAAGGGTTATCCTGTTAATAAATAAGCCGGAGCGGCTGCCCTTCAACCAGGGCCTGTCGGTTGCTGTCTCCATCGGCCCGGGTACCTCTGTGCTCCCGGTCCCAACCCATCTGTCTTCCTGGGGTCTGTCTGCCCCTCTTCCCGCTGTCATCTCCTGCCTGGTCCCTGGCGTGGGGACGGCCCAGTCACCAGTGTGCTGCGCTACGCGGGCCCCTCTCAGCACGAGGCTCAGAGGCATGAGTCCGCCTGTTGCGGCCCTTCCTGCGTGACTCCAGGGCCGGCGGTCGCGGCACTGGCTGCGGGCGGCACATGCGCAGGGAGTTCGCGCCTCCACCGCCACCTGGCTCCACCAGCTGTAGAAAGTCCCGGTACCAGAGTTTAGGACCCAGCGGCGCAAGAGGCGAAGCCTCTTCGACCCGCGCCAGCCTTTCAGCCTGCGCAGCACTCAGCACATGTAGCATCAGGCGACGCAGTGGCTGTGAAAAACCCTGCTCCACTGCTACACATAGGTACACGCCTGAGTCCTGGCGCCGCACGCTGCGCAGCAGCAGCCCCCGCGCGGTGCGCTCAGCGCGCTCCTCCACTAGCACCTGTTGGGAGAGGGGCAGCGTGAGGCTGCAGCTTTTGGGCCAGGAACGGAAACAAAAGGTCATTGGGAACCCAGGAGAAGCGGAAAAGGAGCACCTTCAGCTGCATGTTTGAAGGTTGGGTGAGGGGGTCTTCAGATTAAGTTCTGAACGGGGCGGGGTTCACCTGAATATGGGGGCGGGCCAGGGACCTAAATGGGCGGATCGAGGGCGGGCCCTTCTCCAGAGGATAGCTGGGTGGGTCAGGATACCGTGGGGCTTTACCGGGATACAAAGTGCAGGTAAGAGACCAGACATGACCGCGTGGGTAAGAGGTGTAGTTGGGAGGGGCCTCATTAGCTTGGAGCTTACCTATATGTGGAATATAGGCTAAGGGCCTCCTTGGGCAGAGCGGGACCTCTCCTTAGGGAGGTAGAAGGCGGGAAAGGGGCCACCTTGCGAATAGAGGAGCGAGGCTCACCTGGGTATGGGATGCCTCCCCTGCACGCTGGAAGGTCCACTCCAGGTGAGCCTGCAGCGAGCGAGGCTCACACTCTAGAAAGGCGCTGCCGCCCTCGACGCCGAAGACCTTCCGCTCCAACAGCGCGGGACGAGAGGAATCTGGAAACCAGGAGAATGTTAAACTCAGGGAGGGTAGGGTGGGGTTGAGCATTTTCAGAGGGTTGTTGGGGCAGATGGAACACTCACCCCCCGAGCATAACATGCTGGGGTCGCCATTCCTTATGTCTTGCCGCCGGAACCGTCTGAGGGGAACATTGGAACCTCCATGAGCCCTTCTTTTTCCAGCCAGGGTCAGCCAAAGACCCTTTGTTTTTTCCTCCCTGCGGCTGGATCCCGACCTGGACACGGACCCGGACCCGACCCCGATCTTGCTCACCTCTTGGCACTAGGCTGGAAGCGTGTGCAGGTGGCCCCGTCCCATGCGCAGTAGGGATCACGCGCCAAACAGCATTCAGCACAGGCGCGGCCGTGGGCAGCGCAGCGGTGCAAGGAGATCTGGGCCACTGCGCTCCGCGAAGCTATGTACAGCTGGTGCTAAAGGGTATGAGGGGCTCCGGGCTGACCAAGGTCGGCCGGTCCCGCATCTGCCTCCCATCGGTCAGAGATCCCGTCCCCCACTTGACAGATAGGAACACTGAGGTTCACTTAGGTCATATAGTCTAGCAAAAGCACAGCCTATACTCAAACACCAGCTGAGAAACTACCAAAAGGGGCAAAATGGCTGGGCCTTGGGGCATAAGCTTAGGATGTCCCATGTCCCACCCATCCTTTTGGTCACTCACCCTCTTGGAGGAGATTTGCATGCTGGTGACAGCAACAGAATCCTGAGAGGGAGGAGGGGCACCAGGATTAAGGCTTAGCGGGTGGGTAAAGGGGCTGGGCGATTGGGGTCAGTGCCTCACCTCAAATACATGCAGTTCCTCCAGGAGCAGCCCCTCAGAGCTAGGCTGGCTACCCTTGGGGACTGAGATCACCTTCAGCACTGTGCCCACATCTGCAGGAATGAGAAGGGGGTGGAGGTGGCTACTAGTTTTCCCTGATAACCAGGACTGGGGTCTTCTGCCTTAGAGATCCCACCATCAGCATAATTGGGTCATGAGGTGAAAAGTAGATTGGGACAATCAGGGTAGCATCCAGAAAGTGGAGCCACAGGCTAGGCAAAGAGGTGGAGATGAACATGAAAAGCTTCCACTACCAGGCCAAGGAGCCTGTATGAAGTCCTGTGGGTCAGTCACTGTGGCAGGACCTGACCTGTGCCAATGAAGAGGACGTCATAGTGTCCATCAGCAGCTGCTACACGATCTGCAGCGATTTGGGTGAAGGTGTACCCAGCACCCACTTGTAGGAAGAGAGGGCGCCCCCCCATGGGCAGCACCGAGTTGTACATGAGAGGGTGGTTCCGAGCAAACTGGATGACATCATCAGGGAAGTCCTTGGTAGAGCTGAAGGTGCCAAAGGTCTTGCTGGGGCACTAGGGAGGGAGAAAAGAAGGCATAACAGGGTTATAGGCGTGGGTGTTTGGTGGGCAGCCCTCCATTCCAGAACTCTGGGAATATGGAAGAGAGAAGGGCACTTCCAAATGGAAGAGCACTGCCCTGGGGATTTGAGCCTTACCCTGGGAAGGCTAGATTGAGCTGAGTCTGAAAGGGGAGATGTGGCATTCCTCTGAAGATCCGTGTCTGATAATAATGACCTTTTCCCACCCATAACAGAAGGAAGAAACCACATTCACCAAGAAGACCCCAGGACAACTTCTGTACCCTTGAGTACCCTTGAGGCTTTGAAGTGGGTTATGGCAGGAATACCCTAGCTACATACCATGCCAGGCCGTGGGTAAGGGACACGACCCTGATAGGACACCCACTGGTGTGTGGGCCCCTCCTTATGTGCAAAAGGTCCCAGGAAGGCCCTGCGAACATCGTTCATGCTATACACACACACGGCAGAGCCCTGGAAGATGCCACTGCAGACAATGACAAGAGAAGAGTGAGGGGCCCCAGTGAGCCCAGCAGGCCTGAAAGAGAAGAGGGTGTCCCCTACCTCTTATCCCTCACCTGGAACTGGAGAAGACAGCATAGAGCAGTGGAGTCCTGCGGTCCCGTGAAGACAGCAAGAACACGTCCTCTGTATAGAAAGGGTCTACTTGGAGAAGGGTGCACAGCCAGCCTCTCTGGCCCAGTTAGGCTCCCGGAATCTGCACCCCTGAGCTTTTCCCCCATCATATCTCCCACTCAAAGCACTTACGAAGCTGGTCGAAGTGGGTGTCACCCTCAACCCCAGGCACTGAGCACACCAGCCGCGCCTTCAGGAACGTTGTCCACTTGTTGACCAAGCTGCGCTGGCCACCCACATCGTTCTGCCAGGAGAATCTCAAGGTATAAGAGTGGGGCAAAGGGGCGAGGTCAAGGTTGCCCAGGGAGTGGCCCAGGGATTCCTCACCCGGCAGATCTGACCAACTCGAGACACAGTCAGGCGTCCCACTGCAGGTGCTGCCTCCACGGCCGACTCACGGAAGAAGAAGTAGATTTTGTCATCGTCAGGGTTCTCACTCTCCGGGATCCAGAAGACCTTGATAAACTTGGGTTCTAGCCGCAATGGGAGGCATAATGTTGGGCCCGCCAACTCACTACCTGCCCCCTCTGCTCAGCCAGCAGCTACACCAACAGTAGCTTCTGACCACCCAGCTTCCAGGATCTGCGATGCAAGGAACAGCCACAAGGGGACAGCAGAGTCCGTGGCTGCCTGAGCCAGCCGGCAGAGAAGAAATCCCTGGGACCTCAAATGGAGCCCCTCAGAGTTCCCCAGGCACGCAGGAAAGGAGGAAGAGGAGATTGGGAATCTGGTTTCATCTTGGCTACTGAATCTTTCTCAGGACCAGATCAGATGCTCCCCACTCCTGCTGCATCCCATGCTCTTAAAATAAACTATTCCATCCCCTGACAGTTTCTATCCTTTATCATTGCTACGGCCACCAGCCTGTTTCTTGTTTCTGCCTCAGGGCCTTTGCACTAGTTGCTCTCTCTACCTGGAATGCTCTTCTCTCAATTCTCTTGGCTGGCTTTCTTGCACTTTGAGAATTAATTTATACCTTCCCTCGGCAAGGCGGCTTCCTTTCCCCAACCTGGTATCCTTTTCCCTTCTTCTCCATTTTCTCATCTACCTCATTGCTGCTGGAATTTATCATGTATTTGTTCTGAGATCTGTGAACTCAAAGAAAGTCTGGGCCACACCTATCTTATTTGTCCCCTGTCACCAGTATCTGGCATGGGACTTGATTATGGTAGATACTTGTTGAGACTTCACTGTGCCCGTTGCTCACTTATTTTATCCTTGCTTGGGACCTGCCCACTACCAGGCCAAGGAGCCTGTATGAAGTCCTGTGGGTCAGTCACTGTGGCAGCCCCTGCCCACTAGCCCCACCAGCCTCTCACCGTTGAGCCAGCGGGAATCATGTGGCTCTGTTCGGAGACTCGGACGCTGGCCCAGGCTGCGAAAGATGGTAAAGTCCCGGCCCATGAGATCTGCTGCCACCCCTGAATACAACTCCTCCCCTGCAGACAGGGCAAGAGCTGCTCAGCCAAGATGAAGGCTTTGGGGATAGGAGGTTCTGAGGAGCTGTAGGAGCTGTCACTCCAGGAGGCTATGGGAGAATTCCTGGGATTCTCAGGAGGCATTGGAACCTGTGAGGTTCTAGAATTTTTTTTTTTTTTTTTTTTTTTGGTTCTGGGGATTTAGCCCAGGAGCACTTGACCATTAAGCCTCATAATTGGGTCATGAGGTGAAAAGTAGATTGGGACAATCAGGGTAGGCAGAAAAGGGGCCCAGTGTGTATAGTGTGTGTTTGTGTGTGTGTGTGTGTGTGTATTTTTTTTTTTTTTTGAGACAGGGTCTCACTAAGATGCTTAGGGGCTTGCTAAGTTGCCAAGGCTGGCCTTGAACTGTTTCAGCCTCCCCTGCCACTGGGATTATAGGTGCCCAGCAGGTCCTAGAGTTTCTGAGGGGTTGTAGAAGTTCTGTTGGGGTCCCAACCTTTGGACTCACCCACCAGCACGGAGGCAGCTCGATGCTTGGGGTCATATGGACTCTTCCCCTTGCCATCCTCCAGCCTTCTCAAGTCCAGCCGGAGCACAGGCTCCTGAGAAGCAGCGGGAGTTATCACTGCTAAACCTTTCTTCCCACTCTCAACCTCCCCCAGAGCCCAGATCTGATCTTACCTGCTGCTGGTGGCCCACCTCCACAAATGCACAGGTTGGGTGGAAGGCCCCTGTGCCACATGCCAGCAAGTGGGTATGGTTATAGACGTGCAGCAACTTCACGAAGTTCATGCACTCAGTCTAGTGGGCAGGCAGGGTGAGAGGCAGTGAGGGAGGTGGTCTTAAGGGATCCCAGTTCACCAGAGGGATCCTCACCCCTTTCTTTCTTCTGTATTAGTTCAGGCAAGGGGCAACAGAGACAGAGTGTCCTTGATAACCAGCCCAGCCCAGCTCACCCCTGACATGGTGGTTACATGGAGAAGTATAGACCTGCACAGCCCCCCATGATTCAGAGGCCCCCAAGAAGAATCACATGAGCCTCCACCCTGACTCACCACCTCCAGACCTCAGCCACTTTGACCTCCCTGCCCTCACCCCAGTCAGAACAGGCAGGCCTCTGTCTTAGCACTGCCCTGTCTCTGGGGTGAGGGGCCAGCTCTCCCCACTCCCACCCCAGATAGCCAGCAACACTCACACCAATGTCCTTTCCTGCCCAGTTGCACTCCTCTCGCCATTCCACAGGGGCCGGCCAGGCCAGCTATAAGGAGGAGGGGGGAATGGAGAACACAGGTCAGAGATAGTCTCTATCCTGGCAGTCTCTCTAATTAGGGATCCCATCCCTTTTCTGTAGGCAGTGTGGAAGAGGGTCCTAGGGCTCTTGCCCTGGGCAGTGCTGGGGTTAGGGTCCCTGGCACCTTCTTGGCCCTCTTGCTGATGTTGTCCAGGCTGAGGGAGGCCACATGGTTTTCGGCACCCACAAACAGGCGTCCTCGCTCCTCATCTACCAGCAAGGCTTCATAGCAGCAGGTCCGCTCCAGCCTGAAGGTCCGGAGACCATGCCAGGACTGGAGTTCTGCGGGGGGTGGGGGGAACACCACTGAGGACTCTCATGCCATACCTCCCCAAAAGCCTCCCCAGGCCCTGCGTGGTTGTTTCTCTACGGACTAAGGTTATACGTGTGACCTAGCCCACACACCTGTGCGCTTACATATGTGTGAAATTACACTCGTGAAGACAAGCCCACCCAGGGGCATGTGTGGAGCTACAGGGTAGGCAGCGCAGCCCCCAGGAAGAGGAAAACAGGTTGAGAAAAGCATGTTCAGACACGTGGGTGAGCGCACTGGGAGGTCAGGCTTGTGGATGCCAGGGTCCTGGGGGAGGCCAGGCATGTAGGGACAGCCAGAACCCCAAACCCAAAAAGTCAGGCTGAAGATTCCTTCCCTGTCATCATCACATCACCAACCGAGCTCAGCAGAACTGCCTACCTGATGCCATTGCCTAGTAACCACACCTCCGTGTAGGGGGGGTGAGAATGGAGCTCTAGTGGCCCCAAACCTTGACTTCCCTATTTCTCTTCAGAAGAAATATGGCCTGCTTGGGGTAGGGGATGAGACAGATACAAGGTCTGTTGCTATGGGGACAAGAGGGGTCGTCCTGGGAAAGCATGAAGAGAATGTGGGCAGAGAGGTTGGGGAACTGAGGCCAGGACAGGGTTAAATGAAGATGGCCTGAGAATGACCCCGGGTCTGGTGATAGGCACACCCATGGGCAACAGTCAACACAAAGACCCACTATACACACTGGGCCCCTTTTCTGCCTACCCCCAAGCTGGGCCCTGCTACCTGCCAGGTGCACCTACCTTGAAAGGAGAGCCGAAGACGTGGGGGGCTGGGGGCGGCACCCCCCAGCCCCGCTGCCCAGAGCAGGGCCAGGCCAGGGATCATGGCGGCGGCCTCGGTCCGCCCCATGCTGGCAGCTCAGGGCACTCAGGGTTCAGCAGGCGTGTGTGGAGGAGCCTTGAGCTGCCCTGGACTCTGCCCCAGGATCTGGAAGAGAAGGAGTCGGCAGCACAGCAAGCAGTTAGGGCTGGAGGCTGGGGGGAGTCCCCAGGGATCAGATTACAGCCCCTGGGGAAAGAGGCTGGGGGGTCGCATTCCACTTCTGAGCTGAGCCCTCCCTTCCTAGGGTGCCCTGCCTGGCCACAATCACAGACACACCCACGCTGGGCACACCCTCAGGGTCACCCTGCACTGGCAGGCACCCGCCCCACCACGTCACCCTCCTCAGTAACCTCCCCTCCTGTATACACACTCACAGACATTAATTCACAAACACTGTGCACCACTTCATGCCAGCCTGGGACCAGGATACTGGGAGACACCAACAAGGCCCCTGTGTGTTAGAGGCAGAATGCCAACAAGGAGTCAGATCCTGTGGTCGTTTCAGAGGGTGCCAAGTACAATGAGCAAAACAAGCCGATTAAGAGAGTGAAAGTGACAAGAGGGATTCAGGCCTCTGGAGGTGGATGTGTACTCACAGACCATAGAGAAAACAGAGGTATTTGGGGGCTAGAGCCAAGATTGTGTGTGCCTGTGAATGTGAATGTGTTCCAAGGGTACCTTTGTGAATGTGCACATGTGTATAGTGTGTGTGTGTGCATGTGTGCACAAATACAGTATGTTGTATCACTCATGTATTATGGGTTGAGTGTGCAAATGTGTGTATGCCTATCTGTGTATCACTGTATGCACGTCTATGCAATGTGTATGTGTGTGATGTGTGCACGTTTTATATGCATGTGTCACATTTGTGCATGTGCAAGTATATATACACACACACACAATTATATGTGTGTCTCAGTGGGCACGCAAGTGAGCAAATACAACTGCAGCATCAATTACTCCCTTCAACTCTGAGATACCAGTGAAACCCATTCCTCAGAGCAAGATGTGCTGCCCAGGAGAGCCAGAGCCTGGGTCTCTGCAATGGGCAAGCAAGCACCTCAGCTTCAACTAGGGACTGCCCCATGCCAGACCCAGCAACCCCAGCTTGGCTTGGCTGCTCCCTCTGCACCCCAAAGGGTATAAGGATTAGTCACACAGATTCTATGAGGTCAGCCTTTGGACCCAAGGGGTATGGGGAACAGGGTATCAGCTTTTCACCCTCAATCCCAGGCTCCCGATGGGGCTGCCCTTCCCTCTCAGAGCCTCCACATTCCCCCTGAGCCCCTCAAGTTTACCCCCTCTTTGAGCCCCTCCACTGAACCAGAGACCTTCCTCAGATGAGGCAAGGCTCTGGTTGCTACCCCCACCTTACTTCCCAGGAGCTAACTGGGCAGGTTCTGGGCACAGGACCCCTAGGGGTGGGGCATGGTCCCAGGGTGAAATTCAGGAATGGAAGCAGGTGCTGGGGCAGGTCTCAGGCCCCTCCAACCACACCCCTGCCCCACTCCCCAGCTCCTGGACCCTTCACAAGCCAGGACCCCCACCTCCCTCCTTCCATCTGCTGACACTTGCCGCTGCCTCTTCTCCGGTTCTAGAGGTCTTCAAAGCCAACACCTGCTACCTTCCATACTCCACCAAGAACTCAGCAAAGACACCTCACCACCCTAGTCTCTTCTCACTCTGGGGAAGGGAAGAAGGCTAGGGGCTGCAGGGCACCCTCTGACGGCTCCTTTAAGGAGCAGCCCCCGCCCCCACCAGGCCAGCCACCGCCCCATAGCCGTAAAGTTTTCAGGACTGCAGGGCGGATCGGGTGACTGGGCAGGCAGCCGGGACCAGCAGCGGCAGGCCAGAATGGAATGGGCACAGGGAAGGGTGGGTAGGGATGACCCCTTCTCTGTTGGGCCTTAAGGCAAAGTGTATCCCAGATGACACCAGAAGGCTGGTGGCCAATCAAGGCAAAAGA